GCCCCGTGACTTCCGAGGGGACTCGGCTTTCATCACGAGACGTCATAATTCTTCTTCCAACTCCCAGGGCAGAGTTAAAATGGTTTGAATTATTTTTTCTGGTTAGCGTTTTTTTGGCAAGTGAGATTTCAACGGAATGGGGTCGCCAACCCCATGCCCAACCCTCCTCCTTTATCTGTTCTTGGGACCGGCAGTAGCCCCTAAGGTTCTACTGGCGGATTTGTATTTTGTTATAGTTTCTATTTTTTGTACTTTTATTGAAGTTTCTATGTTTTCTACTGAACTGTACCATGCTATTTAAATTAATACCTAATTATGGCGTCAGCCATATCGGATCTGATGATCGGGCAGGTGAAACTTGAATCTGGACTGGAAGGGTGAACTTTCTGACTTATATGGAAGCATTCTTCCAGAATTTGAAACACGTTGTGTTAAATTTTGTTAAAGAACATTGTATTATTGTTTAGATACGTTTCGTACCCAGATAAATTGCTTTCTTCTTGGGATAACTGGAAAGGCGCGTATCTGACTCCTTCCATTGTTCTTCCGAATTCAGAAACCACTGATGTGTGTCGGTTTACTGCGTGTTCTTAAGGTCGGTAATTAACTCGTTCAGACAATCGTTGCCAAATAGCGTCTGACGGTTGATAAATCAGAAGATGAACACAAAGTGATGAATACGTTTATTCGGGACATACAACAAAGCGAGCTTAAGAACACGCAGTAAATCGACACACTACACCACTGAAAAACCCCAGCAGTCCATCATCTGAATCATGGAAGTGAATTTTTCCACGCCTCAAGATATTAAATTTCTGTGGTGCTTGAATTCTCGTATGATGCTTTTAGTGTTATTCAAGTTTAAATACTTTTTTACTTCAGTTGAAGATATTTTAGTCGGCCTAATCTGTGCACCTATATACAACGTTTAACCCTTTTACCTTGCCTGGTTAAGAATCCGTGGTCTTTCTAAGTTCCACCATTTTGTTTATCACCGGCCAAAGTGGCGGTTTCGGTATATTTTTACTGCTGTAATGTTATGATTTTTGACGTTTTGTGGCGTGCGGTCCCAAATATTCCCAACTCACCTGAATCATTCTGGTTAGAATAGTCACTCAAAGTCATTGATAATGTAGACTGTTGTGTCTTTCCCCTTCAGAAGATGGTGCGGAATCAGACTGGTGTAAGACATGACTTGATAAACTGTGCATCAGTATGTCCCTGGCAGCGCAAAAAAATGACCAGGATCAGGACCCGGTCCCGGATCCCTAGTCCGGGATTCTGACTCTCTTCTGGATTCGGACCTCGTACTTCTGGATGCTTGTAGAATACAATATCAAGTCTTCTTGTTTTTACTCAATATGGGGGGTTGGGATAATTGGATTTGAGTAGCATGTCGTGTCGCCGGATCCTCGATCTTCGCTCTCGTTTTCCGACTAGGTAAACTCGTAATAGTTCAAGCATATCAAAATGACGTGTTTATGTGCGGGCGTAACAAAAGGTAATCACCAGTTTAGTCAATTCTTCCTTTTTTGTCGGTCAAGAGGCTGAGAAAGCAACTTTTGATGTACTTAAGGAGGAGGAAAATTCTATCCAGACCACTGCAAAACGTAACCAAAAAAATTGCTGCGCGCTCAGGATAAGGACACTAATACTCGTTGGATGCTCGACAACTCTTGTTACCGATAATGAGGTTGGTGAAACTGTAGGATTTGTTCAGTTAGATAGATACACTGACCATCACCACTGATAGATGATATTTTCACGCAAAATGGCAGATATTGTTTAAGAGTCAAGAATGTACAGTTCAGTTGTTGACTCGAATTGTGTCAGTTGCTTTATGACGTTCGACTAGGCTGTATATAACAAGACGTGAATGTGTATTGATCTTATTGCTGGCATTCTCCAGATAAACACCTAACAAATATCTGTGAAAAACAGCCAGAATATCACGACTACTATTTAAGGCGTAGGACAAAGTGTTGAAAAAGAGAAAGAAGGAGATGAGAAGAAGAACCGAAAACGCTCTTGATCAAATATGTGTGATGAATTTTGTGAATCTGACATTACAGGCTGTGCTATAGGAAATGATATAGTTTGATCTGACAGAGTACGTTTTGGTTCGTTACTTCCACACTGAAGAAAATACTGGATATTTGGTCATCACAAGCACTTTATGTATCACAACGAAACTAGTCGATTAGGATCCCTCAACGATATTTAACTTCCACAATGATGTTGCCAAGCTTCTAAGGAATACGAATCTAATGAGCGCGAAAAAACGGACATTTGCCTCGTGAGAGCTGCCTCAATATATTATACGTTGATTTGAGGATTATGTAGTTGGAGCCCCTCTAAATAAAGGACATCCGAAAATTCCTGAACTCATTTGAATTCCGTGGCTTGAGTGGAGTCCGTACCATTGCCTTGAAGAAATGCAGAGGTCTACTTCGCCTTCAATCCACCACACTTAAAAGCGGTGGCGAAGCGAGACGAGTAAAAGTATCTTTGCAGGCTCTAGGGTCATAGAACACAGCTGGTAATATAACCTTTCTGAATGCCAGCACGATTTTCTAGCAGGTAAACAATATAGCGCAGTTAATAGTACATGTAGATTCCAAACTAAAGTAGTATGGAATGTTGAATGACCGTGAAGGCTAGTTCAGATGCCTAACCATTATATACAAAGTTAGAAATTTTAATGTTCATTATCACGTGAACAAATGTTACCACTTAGTTCTTCAATCAATAGTTGTTCGGCACACTTGAATACTCAGCCCCAAATTACAATGTCAATAATTTGATAAAGGACATATCATTAATTCCAGTCCCATTCAATAAACATTTTAATAATTCAGATGAACCTGTGAGATCAATTAAATTTGATTGAACCCTAGTAAACGAAAAGCGATCCAGGGGTCCGTTTATGTAACAGTTAAACCAAGTTTAATTCACCGGTACAGTAATATTGGCACGATGTCACTTACAACTGTCTAAATAATAATAAGAAGAATAAATATCAGCCGTAGTTTCACGGCATATTATAACTGACTTTGAAATGTAACCATGAAATTAAAATCTTGGATGCTATACAAATAATGAGGAGGGTCAAAATGTGGAGACGATACTAGAAAATGGAATGTTAATCGACCAAACAAAATGGATTGTGTCAACAACTCCGTTCCCTAGACATCAGCCATGGGGCTGAACCTCTTCTTCATCACAGGACAGATCGTTGAATTATGAATGATTTATTGAACATTGTGACGATGAAATTTGGTTCATGTGATTCCGCTGCACACCATCGGCCAGCTCATACGGCAGGGGCTCTGTTATGCAGTCCTTTTAATTTCTCCCCATAACACATCTTTTTGCAAGATTATGCTTGTATTATGTACTCGTCTTAAGAGCCACATACTTAGCAAATAGATTGCAACATACTAGCCGAGTGTTATATGTTCAGCTCGATAGATTGGAGCGAAAATATACGAAGACATTATTTCAGTCGTTGTGAGGACAATGTCATGTAATCTGGCAGTCATTCCTCCTTGCCCACCATTAACCTTGACTTGTTAACTATACGACATTGAGCGATTAGTCTTCTAAGATGGATTTATGTTCAACCTGAGGGATAGTTTGCAGTGGGTTTTATTGTTCCTTCGCTGATCCCGAGGTTCTGTAGGGAGATAATTTCAGCTGCTGCTCTCTTTCACTCATCACATCGCTCTATCTCGAGCAAGTTAGTCTATCAGAGCTAAACTTCATAATGTGATTGCAAGTAAACATTAGTTTTTCAACTGAAAGTTCCGGTCGATGAGGATGAAAACATTCCAATCCCTGCCTACTATGTGATAAAACTAAGATTTCATTCTAGGCTTAATCGATTTTAGGATTTTTCGATTTGAAGTGCGTTAGCCATCTCATTTAAGAAGGCTACTGCTCAGTTCTGCTGAGCAACGCGAGCTGGCGAGTGTCCACATCGGGGGTCTCACAGGGGACCATCTTAGGTCCACTTCCATTCCTGATATTTATTAACGACCTGTTAGGCTCAATTAGCTCACCGGCATTGATCTACGCAGACGATGCAAAGATCTGGAGGTCCATTAGAAGCGAAGAGGATTTGGATGAGCTTCAAAATGACCTTACATCTATTGAGGAATGGGCAGTGAAAAGCTGTTTAAAACTCAACCAACCGAAGTGCCACGTCATGCATATTCTGCCTCAACGAAGCAAAAGATCTACACCCTCAATGGAAGCCTGCTTCCTAATGTCTCCTTGGAGCGCGATCTCCGTTTAATAACCATAGAAAGCCTCCACGCGAGCCCGAACTATGTAGGGGACGCAGGAAAATGCGACTCTTCACTTTATGCGAAGACGACTTAATGCTATCACTCCACAATTATTCTTAACACTACTTAAGACGTATGCTCACCCACACCTGGAGGCTCACAACGTCATCTCACCACCTCTGCTTAAAAGAGACATAGATCTCCTTACTTACACTTCTGTCCTCTCTGACAATCTTCACTACCAATTAATAAACTAAGTCATCTATATATTACTCAGTTCTGAAATTTTTTCCATATTAGCATTAGAATTTTATCCTTATCATCCTTATTATTCTCCACATTGCAACTAACTGATCTCCGGTCTGGTTATGTAATAGCTGCCGGTATCCAGAAACCTTACTGCCCTGGAACAAACGTTTTCATTCAAATCCCGAAACATACAAGCTCACAACCAACTGCCAACTCACTAGAATTAGACAGTCTAGTGGTCAGACCCATTCACTGCACAATACCGAATATCTGGAAACATACTGAAAGTGCAAGAATCGAGCGCGAAGAAATCGAATTGGTTTACACTAGCTCGTGAAAAAGATATTGGATATTGGAGTATGACCTTGACTGATTGCGGATTTTAGACTACTGGCCGTACCTCGGTATTCCTGATCATTAGACAGGTTCATCTATCCTGTGTATTAAAACGTTAAATCTACGATGTCAGTCAAAGTAATTAATTTGAAGTATCCTTATCTCTATTACAGAGCAAGGTCAAAAAAGAGGTGAACCAAGTTCCTAAATTAAAATCGAGCAAGCGACGTGCTGAAGTAAGACTGAAGTAATACATTAACTCAGTATTTCAGACCCAACCTGATGGTATTCCAAAGAAAGTGAGTGAATCTTAGCAGTGTTTTGGAAATTTAGACGGTTAAACTTAAAGAAAAACAAGAAGCAAGAAAGCCGGTTGGAGATGATTTGTCTAAAGTGAGCTTGGTTTTATTCCATGGTTGGTTTTGTACAACCATTTTTGTAACTGTTATTCAAAAAAACTTCTTTATTTCAAGGCTATTAGGTATTCATCCGTCAACTAAGTACATTCCTCAATTACAATGCTATGTAAATTAGCTTGACGCTTGTTTCGTTTAGAAGTATGAGCCTTCTGGCATCGTAGGTTGCTAAGGTCGACAAATAGTTTTAGATATAGTTACGCTTCCGTCAGTATCTTGTCTGGGGCTCGGGCCATCCTATACTTGACTGACACTCTTCATCAAGCTTACCTGTAGTGTATTTTCAATGTGCTCATCACTGGTCAACTCAGAAGCGAATATTGTTTGAAGTTCACTTTTGATGGGCCGTAATGATACTGCATAAATCCAAGTTAAATACGCAGTATTGATGTGTTTTTAATTTCCAGGGGTTTCAGAGAAATCCGAATCACTCTTGTCTAAAAAATGTTAGTATGTAGCACCAGTATGCTTACTCGAATTTCAGCACTTTACAAAAAGTTTCTGATTAAAAGCCTTGTGAAACTCTGATACATCGGGTTAAATTATTGTCTGTGTTTTTAAGCTCCAGTCCCTTATTTAGTAATTAAAATATATTCAATCACCAGATTTTGGGCAGACTATTTATTTAGTTATTTTGCACTATAATTCTCAGTTATCCTGTAATTAAACGTGATATCAAATATTAAAGCCTATTTTATCTCATTCAACTCAACTATTGGGATTCAAATTGTACAACTAAAAAATTCCTCTAAACGCTACCAGTAATTACTGCCACTATCTTATGAGGTTAAAACTTTATATCATGGGTATAATTTTGATTGTATACATGGTTTTACGTACCAGGTTCTACGTTGCTGACTGACTGACACATGGTTCTATGTCGTTAATCATCCTATTTTCCCCATAAAATCAGAATGCTTTTCCATAGTCATTTATAAACTAATGTAGTTTTTTTCTTGTTTTAGGTACGCAAAACAAAGCAAGTTAAACATAAATTTGGAAAAAAGATTAAGGTATGTAAACTATACACGAGGTTTATCAACTTAATTTCAGACCCCTTCAAAAGGTAAAGTTTCATAAAAACTCGAAAAAAATAGAAACGTTTGTCCATTTTCTCTCTATTTTTTGTGTTTAACTGGTATTTACACTGGTTTTATTTTTAGCGTTCTTAGATAAGAAAGAGCGCCGCCTGTTAAGGCTAAAGTCAAAAAAACACTCTGAAGTGGTAATTAAACTACTGCCAATGTGGGAGCAGTTTCGACGAGATGACGTGTCTAAGGAGAAACGATTTGAATGCATTCAAGAAGTGTTGAAAATTTCAAAGGTAATATTCGTGTTTGATTTGATTGTTTTATGTATTTAATACTGCAAATTATGATACTCAGTGGTTTCATCTTGAACGAGTTGTCGTACAAAGATTGTCTAACATTGTTTTGGATAAAATCTACCCAACTAAACTACAATCAATAGTAAAACTGACTTTGATTGGAATGATTTAATGTAGCAATAACTGGATTTTTGTTTTGGTAAACTTTCAAATATTTCACATGTTGGGGTATTTCTCAAAGGTTTAATTCACAAGGCATTGGAATAATGTTTGGAGATGCAGTCTCATATTAGCGAGTGACCAATAATAAGTTCATACTCCAATCGTCCCATCAGGGTACTCGAACCTATGTGCACCATTGGTTTGGAACCGGGGTTTTTCAAGTATTCCAGGTGAATCTTTCGTATCCACCAACCCTATTTAAGCGCCAGACTTTCGTTTTTTGTCTCTCTAGTTTTGTAGACAATATCGCGAGAAGACAATAAGTAGAACTTCTCCGACAGATGTGTTGTAAATACAGGTATAAACACTCCTTGCCGTCGGGGCCAAACCAGAATGTGGGATCATTCCATGAAGTGATTAGCTATTGATTTGAACCATGTTGTTATGTCCAGACTATCTCGTCGATTTATTCGGAGTTATCAAGATCAATAGTCAGAGACAGTCAGTCTGGCTCAGTGTCATCAACGGATTCTCTCATCCTCTTCTAGATCTCAAGTTTCAAAATTATTCTAAACTTCTTGTTCTGCCTTATTCTGCGAATTGTTATTTTTCTCTCTAGTCGTTCTCTATTTTTACTGTCACTGATACTACCACTACTACCATTACTTTGGCATTTATCTTGGTAATTTTATTTTCCTGTCTCGATATAGTGTGGCATCTTGTACTGACAGACATAGGTACTATCTGGTCATATCTTTATAGATGTCCGAGTCGAAGGACTATAACCACGTCTGTGAACCAATTAAGTTCGGGTCTCAAGCGTTATTCCAAGTCTTATCGGAAAGGAAAGGACGGTACAGTTTGTATATTTTGCCGGCGATTTCGCGGTACTGAGGAAATACCGAAACGTGCCAGAGAATATGCGAAGGTACAGAGCGAACAAAGCAAGATAGCGACCGGAAAGAAGACAGTGTGTGACCGTAGTGTAATGTCAGTATATATACAAAAAGTACAAAGGTCATTGCGTAAAACAAAAGTACGAATTTCAGCCTTATTATTATTATTATTATTATTATTGTTATTAAGTGATTCATTTACAGCATTAAGAATTCAAATTTCATGCTTTTTTTTCTTAAAATTAAAAAAAAGAAAATCATACCCGATTTATGCATGGCTCATGATACTTCTAGAATATTGGAAGATTGTGTTAAATATGGTACAGAGTCACAACGTTGGCAAATTTTCAGTGAAGTTCATACAAATTTGGTTATTCTGGCTAAATCACGTTATGCAAAATTTGTTATATTAAAACTAATAAAATACGGTGACAAACAACATGTATTGGAAATGTTCAAGGTAAGCATTTGTTATGACTTCTCTACAGATATACAATCTGCATGATTGGTTTGTAGAAATTGTTGTGTTACTTTGTTGAAATCATGAATCGATCACTGTTGGACTACCATTATGTTGTGGACGTTCGATCCCCAGAAATCGCTTGACAGATGCCTTGATTTTGGATTTTATGTTTCCGAGCATGGGCTGGTCAGTTGATCTTGAGATCGCATTTCCCACCAGGAGAATCCTTGGCTGTGATTGGTTACTTTGTTATTTTAGTGTGTGATTTTTATAACCCTCCCAAGGGCGTTTCCATGATGTATAAATAAACGCAATTTGTGTGCTTCAATTCATTGTGCTTGCTGGGTGTTTGTAGAATATACTTTCTACTCTATGTCAAGACTTTTCGTTAGTCAACGGATTAGAGTAGCCTACCTGGAGGCTGGTTCATTGTCTCGTTCTCGTTTATCGACTAAGGTGAACCCGTAATAATTTCAGGTATACCTAAGGACGAGCACAACACATTATAAACCTGGAAGAACTGTTGATGAGTCCCATACCAGGTAGAAACAGCCATCCAGTGCCTTCATGTTTCTAACGGTGATCTAACAATTATTCATTCATGATTTCAATAAAGATATACAATCATACAAACTACTGTTAAATTAATTAGTAGGCATTCATGTTATGTTAATAATGCTAAATGGTCTCTGAAAGAATCAAAATTCAGTCAATTAATTGCATTCTCCATACATAGCTTCATATGTTTTAGTATTACTTATCGATTTTCATTTTGTATACCATTTTACATTTCGATAGTTCTAAGTTGTCATCTTGGTTTGTAATTTCACCAATCCTGTTTGTACACATCCATACTTAGAATGGGTAGATAGATATATAAATGAACAAGCAGTGATCTGTCATAATCGTGCATTATTTTGATACTATTACACTTCATAAACAAACTGGAGTCATTCAGTCACTCATCTACAACTCAGAACTTCGTACGTATGTACATCAGTTGAAGTTGCCGTACCACATTAGTAGAGAGAAATGGAATCATCAATTCAGATCCCATAGTAGTAGAGGTAGCAGCAGTATTAGCGGTAATCAAAAAGATTAGTAATTGAAGATGTCATTCGAGGAGTATATACCATTGATATAACCTTATCCTCGTCTGAATTTTCAGTAGACCTTTTGCGAGGAGGCTCGCTTATTGACTCAATGTGCCGATGACATAGTCCTATTTGGTGAAGACGCTGACAAAATGCAGTCTTGCGACTACCCTAAGCAACAATACAAGCATATTCGGGATGCGGCTCTTCCCCCGAAATGCACAATGTTGCTTCAAGACTGGGTTGCATCGGCACCTGAACTAGTGGTAGGGAGTGAAGTAGTCGAACTTGTAGATCGCTTCACTTATCTTGGGAGTCTCATCAGTGCTGATGGCCTGGTGACTGATGAAATCTTGGTACGGATACAGAAGGCTCGATTGGCTTTTGCCAACTTGCGTCACTTATGGTGTAGGCGAGATATCCGTTTGCTGACTAAAGGACGAGTGTACTGTGCAGCAGTTCGCTCCGTCTTACTTTATGGCTGTGAAAGATGGCCAATGAGAGTAGAAGATATTCGTAGGTTACTGGCTTTCGAAGCATTGATCATATATCCTGGGACACCCGAGTAAGCAACGCTGTCGTTATTAAACAGGTGCTAGGTAAGAATGGCAGATCAATAGATTAAGTAATGGAACTTCATCAGCTCATAAATAAAATCCAAAATTAAGACATCAAGCGAGTTCTGGGGATCTAACATCCCCAACAAATATAACCTATCTTTTCGAATACATCTTTAGTGTCCGTTTTAAAAATAATCTCGCTGTTATTATTCACAAGCAAAGCAAGAAAATTGTTTACTAGACGTAGAACTCTGTTATTGTCTTAGGTACAATAATCTTACGTCATGGCAGTTCAAAGTAGGTTAGTAAATGTGGATAAACTGATCATAGGGAGTGGGAATGATTGTTTCGACTTCATTTGCAAGCATCCTCCACTTTGGTGGATCGGTGTCCAACAAAATTTTTGTACAGGCTCTGCTAAGCTTTTGTCAACATGTATCACACGTAACGTAGGGGAAGTTTGTTAACCAAGAAGTATAGTAGACAGAAATCCATTTCGCGTCGCACTGTGGTTGCGAAATAGTAAATAAAAATAAGAGACATGAGTAAATTGTAAGTTTTGGATGATGGAGGAATATTCAGGACTGAAGCGTGAATGCAGGGGTTCTTAAAGTGAAGTAAGTTGAAAAAATCTGGAGTTGGCCAAACCAAGAAATTTCATCAGTTCATGAATTCATTGACTATTGGATTAAGTCTTATGCAACAAGCGGTTGTTGATGGTCAGGTAATATGGCTCAGAATCAATCACAGGGATGCAGGTGCATTCATTGTCAACTTCCTGTAGATCTGGAGTTTTATATTTCCTCCATAGATGCCTTTTTATTCTGTCTTTTTAAACCATATTCTTAATATTCACTCTTTATCATTATAACTATTATTTTGATTTTTTTTACTGTTCATCTTGATGTATTCATTTCATGTCGATTTGGTTTAACAACTTTGAACAATCCATACATATCTATGCTAATCTCTTCATTAATTGTAGCCGACTGATCTCTTATCTTCATTATCATTGTCATAAAAAACTATAATTTTCAATTGAGATTACTCTTAACTGTAACATTTTTAATTTGTAGGCTTTTAAAAATCGTATTCAACGTTTAACTCAACATAAATATGCATCCGAAGTTGTAGATACGCTATATAATGACTATGCGACAGCATCACAACGTAGTGAAATGATTCAAGAGTTTTATGGGAATCGACATGCTCTCCGACTTGGTGAACATAAATTATTCACACTTGAAGATACTTTAAAATTGCATCCAGACAAAAGTATTGCGATACTTAATAATCTTACAAAAATACTCATCAATTTAGTATCAAAGTAAGTTGTTTTGACATAATGTATTTTCAATATTAAATAGTTTTTGAACTGTTCGGGTTACAGTGTCAGTCAGTCAGCAACAACGTAGAACTTCATACGTACGTACATCAGTTTCAGTTGACATACCACGATTGCACAGAGATGCAACTGTTGATTCATATCCCATAGTGGTAGAGGTAGTTAGAGTATGAGCAGTAATCGGAAAGATTAGGGTTTGAAGATGTTAATAAAGGAGGATAATCAGGTGAAATAGATTTGAGATCAAGGTCCTGAGGAGTTTAGATTAGAATTCAGGAGAACACAAAGAATGGATGCACGTACGCCATTGCAAACGATTTTGAATCATGTCTTTCAAGGTCTCTAACCAGCGATTACTATCATCTCGCGGACCGCAACCTGGTACCCTTCATCCACCAACCTCGCTCAGTCCACTTGTCAGTGACTGCATGGATTGCTGCCATGTTTTGGTTTGGCCGTCCCTAGCTATCTTCCAACCTACTCCTACACCACAAAACATAGCTTGTCCGTAGTACCCTTTCTCTAACAACTGTATTGCTTACTCGATTGTCCCAGGATATTCGAGCAGTGCTTTGAAGGCACCGATGATGAAATACTAGTAACGTACGAATATCCTGTACATTTAACGGCCATGTTTCACAGAGGCTACAGCGTAAATTTCTTCATTTACGTTGCCATTGTCGTTTGGGTTTTTACTGTAAAGTGTTGTTGGTTGTTTAGTAAAATAAAATTCAATCGTTTCTTGTTAACGAATCAGCTAAAAACTAAGTCGAAAGTAGAACAAATGTACATAGTCTCAGCAGTGACTATTTCATATCAATTCTATACGCATATTCTGCATCTTCACAGGGTAATACATAGCAGACTGTTATCTCAGTTTATTCATGTTTAGGTGGAGAAATGAACGTCTCGTTGTATCCTATTCCGTGGAAAAAATGTCTAACTCTATCAGTTAGACCAGTTGATAATCATTCAACTGAGTGAAATAAATCATACAATCCTCTTAAACATTACTTACCTACGCCCTGTTACTGCTCATGGACCAGTGGCAACCGAACAGCAGTCTCCAACCAACTCTATCCTGGGCTCACTTTTTCAGTTGTTCCCAATTGCTATTCATTATTTTCATGTCTACTTCCTGTTCTCAGCCCAGTGTGTTTTTTTAGCCTGCCCCTTTCCTTTTTGCTTTGAGGATTCCAAGTTATAGCCTTGCCTCGTGACGCTTACTTACGCCTGTTACCTCCAATGGAGCATAGGCCACGAAACAGCAATCTCCAATCAACTCTTTCAATTCTGTCCAATTTTTGTTCATTCTTCTCATGTCTGTCTCCATTTTTTTCAGCGTAATTTGTTCCTTCGCCTTCCTCTTTCCTTTTGACCTTAAGGGTTCCAAGTGAGGGCTTGTCTTGTGATGCAGTCGGATGCTTTCCTGAATGTGTGTCCTCTTTTCACATCCATCATTTTTTCTTAATTTCTTCCTCAGCTAGAATCTGGTTTGTTCTCTGCCTCAGTAAGCTGTTACTAATGATATCTAGCCAACGGATTCACAGTATCTTTCGTAGACTATTATTTCTTTTGAATGACAGTTTTTGTAGTTCTCCAAGTGTCTCCGCCCTGTACAATAGCATTACTATCTTGACGATGTGCTCAACACATGCTAAGCGGTCAAATATATATATATATATATATATATATATATATATATATATATAATTTAAATAAATTAAATTCACTTCAATCACTTGTTTTCATAGATAGATTCTTTTATTATTAGTTTTCAATATAATCTGTTGTTTCATCGCTACAGCTTTTATATCATTTCATATTATATTGCATTGCGGGATTGTTGTGAAGATTAAATAAGTTTTATTTGAAACCATGAATCGATCAATGTTAGACCACCATTAGAAACCTGGAAACACTGAAAGACGGCCGTTTCGTCCTGGTGTGGGACTCATCAGTGGCAGTGCGCATCCACCACTCCTGCACCCCGCAGGACGAAACGGCCATCCAGTGCTTCCAGGTTTCTAATGGTGGTCTAACATTGATCGATTCATGGTTTCATATTATATTATCATTTTGTTTGTTCAACACCTTGATTTTTTTATGATTCCTTTTTTTTTTTTCAATTTTATTAAGAGGTCTCAACAAATACAGTATTGTTCAACATTTACTATTAGAATATTTACGTAATGCTGTATCATCATTCTCACAAGCATCATCATTGTTTAACAATGAAAAGAAATCGAATGTGAATATAATAACTGAATCAAATGAAACTGTTGTACCATATTTGATCGATGAACCAGTTGATTGCAAATCTACTACGAATAACACTGATGATAAGGATGATGATGATGATATTATTCCCAAATCATTCTATGATAATTTTATCACTCTACTTGAACATTTAATTGATGGTCAAATAGTACCAATGTTGCATACACGTGATGGTGTACGTGCTGCGTTGAGAATATTATGGTTATGTAATCCACAAAAACGTAAAGTATTAGTGAAAAATTTAAAAACATGTATACAAAATATTGCATTCAATGAACATGGACATTTGTTTATTATTGGATTAATTGATTCAGTGGATGATATTGTCTTATTACAGAAAACAATATTTCGTGTGAGTTTTTTTTTCTGTTTTCAATTTGAGTTATGCACATTTGAAATCATCCATCAATCAATGATTGTTAGACTAGTGTTAGAAGAAACCTGGAAGCAGTGGATAGTTGTTTCGTCTTGGTATGGGGTTACTCATCAGTGGTAGTGTGTATCCATGACTCCTGCACTTCGTGGGATTCGAACCGGGGGACCTTCGGTCTTGTGCGCGAATGGTGGTCTAACATTAATTGGTTGATGATTTCAAATGTGTAAAGACTTTATATGTATGAAATAATTTCTTTTTTTTTATTGATTTGAATTGTTCCCGCTCAAATCTTTCTTTTATTTTTTAATAACTCCCTTGTCTGCATGACTAATTGTTTTCGTATAGCTTTATCACCTCTCACCGCTAATGCTAACGCCCGACCGTAGCTGCTACCTTGACATGGTTGTCGGGCTTGCCTATCGTGATGACCCAACCGAGCTATACTGGCTGGAACATATGTTCCTGAAGGTTCTACCATGACAGGCAGGTCGATTGGAGAACGATGAGACTAAAAGCAGCTACCCAAGGTCTGAGGGCGAAGTCGTACTGCTGACTGCAGAGGGGTGTGACAGCAGTAAGGTGTTTCCCTCGGACAACCAGCATCAGCAGCGATGCTGCCTTCTCACAAGGAAGGAAGGGTTAGAACAGGTCGACCCTAAAAATGTCACACCCAACCCCACCTCACGGATTTCCGTCTCAGGCGGTAAGGGCTGCCCAATAGGGGCTTTTAAGAGCGGAGCTAATCATCTAAATACCTTTCATAAAAAGGCCGTGCGTGACCGGCCTCAAGCAGTTGTCCCTCGGACTCTGTGCTCACGCAACCAGGTCTCCAAGACCAACACTAATATACCTTCCTTTTCAGGTTCCTCTAGAAACAACCTTCCACGGTGTGGGCAGCCGCGAAGTGACAACCGCCCTCATACCCGTAACAGCACGCTAAATCTAACGATTTGAGTTCACGAAATGCTGTTCTTGGTCTCTTGAAACCTTAGCTCTAAACCAAATGTTGTGGTATTTAATGTCCGGACCCTGAGCTGAATAGGAAAAAAGACTTTCGTAGCTAGGTCTCTAGAATCTCGCTCCATTGATGTATGTTGCGTCTCCGAAACGCGCATATAGGATCCGAGTAGAATCGTGAATTCGATCTTATCTTGTCAACATAAAAAGCCGTCGTGATTTACGCTTCATGTATCTGGAAGTCTATCTGATGCTTCTCGTTGCCTCGCTGGAGCAGGTATAAAGGATACAGAAGGCTTGACTGGCTTTTGCCAACCTGTGTCACCTATGGCACAGACGAGATATCCGTTTGCTAACCGAAGGACGAGTTTACTGTGCAGCAGTTCTATGTCCTACTATATGGATGCGAAACATAGCCGTTAAGAGTAAAGGACTTTCGTAGATTACTAGTCTTCGATCATCGGTCTCTCTGAAGCATTGTTCGTATAAGCAGTTCTTTCATTAGGAAACGAGTTCTAGGTAGGGATGGCAAATCAATAGATGAAGTAGTGAAACTTCGTCAGTTGAGGTGGTTGGTACATGTGTTACGTATGCCTAACCACCGACTGCCTCGTCGAGCTATGTTTTGTGGTGTAGGAGTAGGTTGGAAGAAAGTTAGGGGCAGCCAAACCGAGACATGGCGGAAATCCATGAAGTCACTAACAAGTAGACTGAGTCATGTTGGTAGTTGTCGACTACTTGGTTGGAGTTTGCGAGATGATAATAATCGATGGTTAGAGACCTTGAACGACACAGCTCAAAACCGTTTGCAATGGCGCAGGTGCATCCATTCTTTGTGTTCCTCTCTCTAATTCCAACCTTCTCAATTCCTCATAATCTCTATCTTTCTCCTTCTAAATTTATCTCACTGAATTATACTTCTCGAATCATATCTTCGCTCCCTAATCTTCTCCATTACTGCTAATACTTGTACTATCGCTACCACTATTGGATTTAACCTTGACAGTTGCATCTCTGTGATAATGCGGTATGGCAACATGAACTGATATACGTACGTAAGAAGTTCTACGTCGTGACTGACTGACTGACTGACTGATCCGTGCTTGGGACCAGCAGTAGCTTTGGAGAGGCTGCAGGCGGATTTGAATTTAACAATACTGTTGTATATAATGTATATTCTTTACTACTTCATCACTTTTTAGGGGGAGTTTGTTTGTTTTTTGCATTAAAAAAAAACTTGAGTTTGCTTTCACACATGTCATTGCTACTATTAATATTTTCCAATTTTTTTTTTCAATTATAGGAAATATTAGACGATTTAGAGTTGTTTGTTATGCATCCTAATGCACGTAAAATACTATTGTATATGTTATCACCGCGGGATCGTCGTCATTTCTCTCCACAATTCATTCATAGTGTATTAGTTCCAGGTGATACAAATAGTTATACTAAAAAATTACTTGGTATACGTGCATTAGAATTACGTCAATCACAATCGTTAGTGTTACCAGCTTTGTTGAATTTAGTAAATGATAAATTGATCGAATTATTTATTGGTGATACACTGAGTGAAGTTGGTTTGTTAACAAGTAAAGATTTAGGTCGTCTTGTATTGTTAAGTGAAATTCTTGATAAAAGGTAATTCATTTTTTTCTCCATTTTCCATGTTGTAATTTGTCATTGTGAAAAAAATTGTTAGTCTGTTATTTTTTTTGATTTTTAAAAATTGTTTATAGTGTTTTTTTTAAAGTTGAAATCTCAGTTAAATTGAATTGTAGTCTAATGAGATGGGGAGATTTAACTTTCTGCGACTTGGTTCATGGTTTTGAACATTTACCCTGTTAGCGCGTTTTTTTGGCATATGAGCAGACTCTTGCACAAATGAAAAATATCTGGAACTCAAAACCCACTATCAATCAACACCGAAATAAGGATTTTCAATACAATTGTTAAGACAGTTCTACTGTATGGAACGGAAACTTGGAGAACTACCGAAAGCCATCATCCAGAAGATACAAGTATTTATGAATAGTTGTCTACGCAAAATACTGAGGATTCGTTTGCCAGACACTATCAGCAACAACGTACTGTGGGAGAAAACAAACCAGATTCGAGTGGAGGAGGAAATCAGGAAGAAGCGGTGGAAGTGGATAGGACACACACTGCGAAAGGCACCCAACTGCATCACAAGACAAGCCCTCACCCGTAATCCTCAAGGTCAAAGGAAAAGAGGAAGGCCAAGGAACACATTACGCCGAGAAATAGAGAAAGACATGAGAAGAATCATGAAAAATTGGACAGAATTGGAAAGGAAAGCCTAGGACAGAGTAGGTTAGAGAAAACTGGTTGGCGGCCTATGCTCCATTGGGGGTAACAGGCGTAAGTAAGTAAGTAATGAGCAGCCTCGTTAGTGATCATTTCATCTAGGAATTATGTTGAGATGGAGAATTTTCGGAAGCTTGGCATTCAGGTCAATCGGTAATCAATAAACACATTGACATTGACCTAATTTACGAACCAATCAGAAAAATCATAAACAAGCTTAGGATCAAGAAACAGATCAAAAGGGGGGGATACAGTCAATAGCAACCAATCAAGATCGAGGTTAACAGAACAAGCTACAGATCAAATGTGCAGAAATTCAATTACTTCACTTCTCTTCTACCTAAAGTTTTTGCTGATGATGTTGTTAGGAGAAGAACAATGAAAGCTCCACAACCAAAACACCCAGCTCAGAAAACGAAGCACCACCACGAGAAACTATGTACATGTTTATGTACTCAGTTTTAAACTGTAATTTATGGATGAGATCTTGTGATATTGTCTGACTATTTAGACAATAGTTTTCGTAGTATTATAAAAGGTATCGTGCATATGAAATGGGCTCGATCGACGATTGGGTGAGAGCTAGTTTTGTCAGCCTAACAGATCAACAAGCTTTAAATTTCTCAATAGTCGAGTACGATCTAATAAAATTCATTCAGTAGTACACTGAGTAATCCTATTAATTGTATATACTCTAGAGGATCGGTCGTTAATTTTTTTACTTCAGTCAAAAGCATATAATTTGCATCACTTTTAATAAAAGACAGTAAGTTCACCATTTGGACGCCATAGTTCTAGCGCCTACAACGACAATGATGGAGCCAACATCAAACGAACGACAGTCGGACCTGATCGGTTAACTCCAGAGGTTGTGAAGGATAGTAGTGGTCAACGCTTGAACTGTTTGCAATATTAACTAAATTTCGGAAGTTGGATGTCAATCCATTTGATTGGTCTTAATTGGTGGTTATCCCAGTTTTATGAGAAAAGATTGTATCCCCAAGTAATTAATAACCACGAAGAAATCTGTTTGATGGATATTGTTTCTAAAATACTAGCTCAAAAGATCAAGTGACTCTTACCTACTTGTAGTGCTCGGAAACAACAATCTCGGGAAAACCAGGCTGGTTTCAAACCTAAGTTTACCAGGCATGCTTACTGTTACGCATGCACGTAAACATGTCAATTTGATATGCTTGAACTATTCGTCGGAAAACGAGAGCGAGGATCGAGGATCCGGCGACACAATAGGCTACTTTAATCCGATTGTCCCAAACCCCTCCATTGAGTAAAAGAAGAAAACTTGATATGAAGTAGAACATGTATTCTACAAGCATTCAGAAAGTACGAGGTATGAGTCCAGAAGAGGATATGGATCCTGGACTAGGGATCCGGGTCCGGTCGTAAAACGTTACATCTAATGCGTATTTATACAGTTAGGTCGAACATTGAAGTATGTGACATTGATAGTTAGGACCACCAATAGGAATGAACCAGTAGAATTAGATTAAGGATATTGGATGAATGTCCTAACACTTACCGATGCCTAACTATGGTTTCATTTATAGCCTAAACATAATGGTAAAGAGAGTTACTATGTACACATTATTCATGGAATAAATAACCTTATTAATATTCTAGAAATAAGTTGATTACGTGCACAATGGTTTCATACAAATTAATTCTTTCACCCATCTTTCTTTTTTTTTACACTGTCAGCGCTCCTCACAGTTTCAATGTAGATAGTCTATTATCAACCTATAAACGTACAAATGATGATTCACGTGTTCAATTCGGAAGTTCTAGCATTACATCAACCGATTTATCAACTTATAAAGCATTAAGAAAATCTGCTTTACAAAAACTTGTCATGCATGTTTTAGTGCCAGAATTCAATCCAACTGGCAATGATGACGACGACAATGATGCTGCTGATGCTGTTGTTAATAAAAAAATTCACTTGAAACAACACAAACCAAAAGGCAATCGTAATGATTTACGTTTATCTCGGCATAAATTAGCCGTTTCATTAGTGGAAACTTATTTAGCTAAACAAAAGAATCCAGTAAGTTTAAGTTTAATTTTAACCTTTCTTTTTATTTTTGCTTGTGTATGTCAAACAGACAGATACAATGCAGAACTTCGTAGATAAGTACATCATCAGTTCAGGTTGCCATACCGCATCAACACGAAGACGCAACTGTCAGATAAAATCCAATAGTGGTAGCGATAGTACAAGTATTAGCAGTAATGGAGAAGATTAGGGAGCGAAGATATGATTCGAGAAGTATAATTCAGTGAGATAAATTTAGAAGGAGAAAGATAGAGATTATGAGGAATTGAGAAGGTTGGAATTAGAGAGAGGAACACAAAGAATGGATGCACCTGTGCCATTGCAAACGATTCTCAGCCATGTCGTTCAAGGTCCCTAACCATTGATTATTATCATCTCACAAATCGCAACCAGGTAGCCTACATCCACCAACATGACTCAGAGTCCACTTGTCAGTGACTTCATGGATTTCTGCCATGTTTTGTTCTGGCCCTTGTGTATGTTGTATGTTTGTGTTCTTCTTCTTATGCTTAATAATTCATTTGAATTGGATAGTTGAATTTGTCTATTTGGTGTTTACACCGAAATAATACAACTCAGTCCTGTGGTGTAATCGAACAGATACCTATCATACTGTTGAATCATTCACATTATTCATATATGTATATAAATATATACGGATTATTTCTGTTGGGGACGTTAGATCCTCAAAACTTACTTGATAAAGGTCCCAAATTTTGCATTTTATTCACGGGCTGATCAGTTGACCTTGAGACCGCATTTCCCACCAGGAAAATCCTTGACTCTCATTGGTTGATGTGGCTCTCTCAAGAACGTTTCTATCCTGTGTAAATAAACTCAATTTGTGTGCTAGTCGACCTCGTGTGTTTCTTGGTGCATGTAGAATACACTTTCTACGCCATATCAAGACTTGTTTCTTCAATTAGAGGGGGCAACAGATTAGAGTAGCTTATCGTGTCACTGGATCATTTGTCTTAGCTCTCGTTTACCGACTATGGTGAACTCATAATAATTTTAAGCATATCAATCGATGAGTATAACAATTTCCGATCCATGATCGCGTCAATCATTATACAGAGTATGAACAAGCAAATTATGACCCATCTTGCTTACATGACTGTAAAACTCCTTACTATTAAAGTCACGATATGCATTACAGAATTCCATCGACAATGTCCCTTGAGAACTTTGAAAATCAACCACTAATAATAGTGAAATCGGTTATCCTACAAACCTAATTTATATGTGAACAGTTAGCGAAACTTTCCCAAGCATTGCTGAACCATCCACAATATTCATATCGAACCTTTAATCTCATAGGAAACCTTCAGCTCTACGTAGCAATCTAGCTTATAGTATTTACGTCATATGGCACAGAATAGTAAGAAAGTCAGTTCAGCTTGGATCTTAATAGCTTAAACACACTTAAGGACCTGTTGTCTTACTTCAGTGTATGGTTATTAAACCATTAAGAATAATTTTTAATCGTAATTACCGTTAATGCTTTTACTACTCCTCTACTACTATGAGGTTTGAATTGACAATTTGATCTCTCTATGCTAATATGGTATGGCTACTTGAACTGATGATGTACATACTCACGAAGTTTTTACGTTGTAGTAGACTGACTGATGAGACATCGGTCAGTGGTTAGTATCAAGTACAGAACCATGCGCACTGAGATTTAAGCCACATACTCTAACCCTAGCCGATAAATGATACTACTTGTGCCTGTTCAAGTCGTAGTAGATGCGGGGGAAGGGGTCGGTGCTCGACTACGTTACATACTAGTCGGAAATCGAATGCTCTTACTACTGTAGTGAACGAGAACACAGGTAGGGAAACCGGATTGTATTTAACGAAAATTACAGAGTTACTCATTAAAATCGGAAAACCATATTGTAAATCGTTAATTTGCAAAATATCAGTCCATCATATCGAACTGGACTGTTCCTGTTGCAAAACATCAATCGATTGCCAATATTCATGCGTTTCATACAAATTCCATTGTGTTCTAACTCTTCCTTTCTTGATCTTCCCTCATCTTCTGCTGCGAGACATTACGTTGACACTCACGTCATATACTACTTATAAGTAGCTCGCACCACACTACCATCGATCCCTACCTCATAATTCACTTGTTTTTCCCACTAAATTTCTTCTCTCAATTATTCACATTCTAAGCTCATTGTCTAATCAACAAACAAACAAACAAACACTTGTTTCATTAATTTCTTTTTCATTTTAGAAGATTAAATCATTTTTCAGTGGAAATGAATCATTAATCGATAAGAAAGAAGAAGAAGAAGAAGAAGAAGCGGATGCTGATGGTGATGATCATGTTAATGAGAATGATCAACATATGTCTGTTGATGAAACATTTTCAATGAATCATACAAATTCGAAACCATTTATTGAACGTCCAGAAGGTGTTTATTTAATACGTCGTTTATTACAAATAGAGAAAGAGACTAAAGTTTGTATGTTTCATGATTATTCTTATTATTATCACTATTATTATTATTACTATTATTATTAATATCTAGAGTTGGCTGTGATTTTTCTAGTCGTTCATTTGAAATCATTAATCGATCATTGTTAGACTATAATTAGAAACCAGGAATCACTGGGCGACCATTTCGTCTTATAGTAATGGGACTCACCAACAGTGCGCATCCACGATACCCGCCACTCATGGGAGTCAAACGTAGCGCGTTCGGTCTCACAGGCGAACGCTTAATCTCCAGGCCATTGAGCTTGCATCCAATGGTGTTAATGTCTAACTTTGATCACTCTAAGTTATTGCACAACTTCAAACATTGATAATCAGTGAGAGCTGTTAATTTATCGGATGTGTGTATGTAAAACTTATATTTCACTCTGTTTATTTGTTAACACAATTACTTACTCCTGTTATTCCTAATGGGGCCGACCAGCGAATTATTTTCCTGGTTAGCGTTTTTTTAGCTAGTTAGATTTCTATGGGATGGGGTCGCTGACCCCATACCCAACCCTCCTCCTTTATCCGGGCTTTGAATCGGTAGTAACCGTAGAAGGGCTCTAGGCGGAGTTGTTAACACATAACAGCTCTATGCTTATATGTTTTGGAAATGTTGATCAACATAGTCTGACATCAATCATAATGGGATTCATTCGCTAGATTCATCTTGGTAGATTTTAAGATATTCATCAAATATCCTAAGAGAATTATTTTCGTAAGTCTAATTCTATTGGCCAATTCCTTCTGGTCAATATTATGGTCGTCCTGACTATCAATGTCACTTCAAATGTTGTTTCCTTTTGATCGCCTTAACTTTTAATGTCACAGACTTCAATGTTGTTTCCTGTTCGACCTAACTGTATAAATATGCATTATCTGTAACGTTTTGTGAACCGGACCCGGACCCGGATCCTTACTCCGGGATCCTGACTCTCTTCTGAACCTATTTGCCTTAACTGTGTTAATTAGCTCCCTAGCGACTGACTTCAAGATATTCTTCAAATTATTGTAAGAAGTGACTGATGGGTTTCAAACACATGAAGACCGACACATCAGTGTAATTAAACGATCGTTGCAGTTCTACAGCTAGTTGATTAACGTTGGAATTATACTACTAGGTATCGACTCAGTAGTTCTGACGGTTAGGCAGGCGTCTACTGCAAGATCTAATTCTTTTTAGATGTTATACCTTCCAGGGTAATAAATACTCTTATTGCTGGACGGTTCTTAATATTACCTCAATTGAGGTTGACTTGTGATGAATACAAACTACCAAGTGCTTAATTTGTGTACTACCTTCGTATAGAGATTTAAAGTCTTTTTTTTAGTAAAGTCATAAACCATGGAGATAATTGTGCATCAATTATATGTGTAATTATAATTCTCAGTCAGTCAGTCAGTCAGCTACAACTTAGAACTTGGTACATACCTACATCAGTGTTTAAGCTGCCATACCACATTAGCACAGAAAGATCAAATTGTCAATTCAAATCTCGTAGCATTAAAAGTAACAACGGGTGAAGATTAGAGTTTGAAGAAGTAATAACAAATTTAAGGAGGGAAAGATAAGTGTGATGAGGAATTCAGAAAAGATTAAAATTTGACAAAAGACAAAGAATGGATGCATATGCGCCGTTTTGGACAGAATTGGAAAACAAAGCCCCTTACAGAGTAGGCTGGAGAACACTGGTCGAGGGTCTATGCTCCATCGGGGTTGAAAGGCGTAAGTAAGCAAGTACATGCGCCATTGCAAACGATTTTGAGCCATATCATTCAAACTCGCTAACCGTCGATTACTATCGTCTCATGGACCCCAACCAGCTGGTAGTCTACACCTATTGACATGACTCAGTTCAGTTGTCAGCGACCTCGTGGATTTGTGCCATGTTTTAGTTTGGCCGCCCCTAGCTTTCTTCCGGTTTACCCTTGTGATTGAGAAGATGCAGTTTTAGTTCGTGATTCAGAGAATTGGAATCAGTCATATGAAGAATCATTTATAAACAGTCAGTATTACTTGACTAAACCAAGTTATGTTATCAATTTGTAAATAATGAAAAACTTAATTCTACTCGTTTCCTCATTACCTTAACAGTTTTTTACAGATAATAATTTATGCATAACATTACACTCTTACTCTTTGTCTGTATGTGTATGTTTTTATTTTTGTTGTCTGTCTCTTTCTCTCTCTCGAAATAGTTACATTTGCTCGACTGATTATAAAGTATGTTCCAGCTGAAAATTTCCAATCTTGGATCAAATGCAATCGTACTTGTTATTTTTTAGTAAAGTAAGTCGCCTTACATTATTATTATTACCATTATTATTATTATTATTATTATTACAGGTTTTATTTTACATTACTAATATGTTCATTGGTTAATTTCATGTCTTGAAACGTTCATTTTTTCTTTGATTGGATTGTTAGAATTTACTAGATAAAGATATAGATGATTGTTTATGTAGTGAACCAATCAGAAGTGTCTTAAAGGGCAAATGCATATCATTGGCCAAGAAATGGATGTATTTTCTAAGGGTGACATTATATATATATATATATATATATATATATATATATATATATATATGGACGAGTATTTATGTATATTATTCGGTAGCCAAATAGGCTTTCTGTTTTACGCTTAGCTTGTTTCTCAACTGGTCAGTTTGGGGGTGGGGTGGTTAGCACACTGCGTTTAAATCTTGAATACGGTTGATTATGACATTAGCACACATCCAATCACTGCGTATCCCAATTATTCTATGGTGTTTAGCATTAGAGTAAGGTAAGAAATCAAGATACCACGTTAGTTAATCAAAATCACTGACTATGGACTTGAACCTTATCGGATTATGTAAACTTTCAGGTTGGGTTTCGCGCACTAGTCATAATCTATGATTGATCGAAAATGTCAGATGATATTATGTAAAACTAACTTCAACAATATGCTTCCTCAGAATCTTGGTCAAGTTATTATTCCTTTTTTAGTATTCTGATGTTGAGCTATGACAAATTAGACTGATACACATTTGTGTTTGATTCTATGTTGCTTGAGACTGATTTGTTTAATGTTTATGCACTTTTGTGAAGAAAACAAACTTCGTACTGTTTATAATTACTGATTGACGTGACTGGGTTGTTACACTGACTCTTTTTGGTGACATTTTTTGACGTATAACTAATGCTATCAGATTTCCTACTATCACATATGTGTGATTAGTTAATTCAGTCAGTCAGTCAGTCAGCTACAATGTAGAACTTCGTACGTACGTACATCAGTTAATGTTGTCATACCACATTGCAGGGAGAGGTAGAATTGTCAAAAGAGATAGATAGATAAAGGTGACATGGAATTCAGAAGACTAGAATTTGAGAGAACACAATGAATTAATGCACCTGCGCCATCGCAGAAGATTTTGAGCCATGTCATTCAGGGTCTATAAACATCGATTACTATCATCTCGCGGACCCCAACCAGGCAGTCGACACCTACCGACATGACTTAGTCCACTTGTCAGTGACTTCATGGATTTGTGTCATACTTTGGTCTGGCCGCCCTTAGCTTTCTTCCAGTCTATCTCTACATCAAACAACATCGTTCGTCAACATAGTCAGTGGTTAGGCATACGTAACACTTGTCTCAACCACGTCATTTGATGAGAATACACAACTTCATCAACTGATCTGCTATCCTTACCTAGTACCCTTTTCTTAACAACATCATTACTTACTCGATAGCTCCAAGATGCTACGGAGACACCTATGATCGAAAATCAGTAACCCACGAATATCCTTTACTCTTACTGACCATGTTTCACACCCATAAAGTAGGACGGAGCGAACTTCTGCGCAGTAGACTTGTCCTTTGGCTAGCAAACGGATTAGTTACTTTCAACAGCCGAATATGTAGTTACAACTTCTGTGATTACAATTTTCAAATAGCAGTTGATAGTTTTTATTCTTTCCAATGTTTTCAAATGGTTAGTTATAAGCAACATAAAATTTGGTAGATATAATTATTACTTCAAGTTATTTCACCATATTAGCAAGATATAATGATCAATATAAATGTCAGATTAGTAGAGGTACCACTAGTAGTATCAGTGATAGTGCAAAATATTGAATCGACTACTTGGACGGGCGATGTCTGACGTAGTAGTAGACTTATGGAGTGCTAGGGGCTGCTAAATCGAAAAAATTGCACCAGTTCATGAAGTCTTTGACAAGTGGACTGAATCATATTAACAGATGTAGGTCCGCTTGATTTTCGTAATCGGTTAATGACATAACTCAAAATCGTTTACGATGTCGCAGATGCGCATCCATTCTTTGTCTTCTCTCAAATTATAATTCTCCGAATCTCTTTTTTTAAATTTATTTCACTTGCTTATGTTTTCGCCACAATCACTCGATCTAAGAAACCATAGCTGATTTGATGAGCCATTCGTGATTTGACTATTTCAAGTTTTGTACTTAGACATGCTTGATTTAATTTTTGAGACAAGCATAATCATTTTTATTTCCACTAATACTACTACTACTAATACCCGTACTACTACGGAATTTGAACTGACAATTGCATTTCTCTGTGCAACTGTGGTATTTGAACTTAAGATGATGTACGAACGTATCAAGCTCCCCGTTGCAATTGACTGACCGACTGAGACAGTATGATTCAACATGAAAGGATAACTTTGGGGGATAAGGAATATAAATATTTAAAAACAAATAAATGAATACATCTTGTGCCATTGCAAATCACTCTAAGTTATGTTATCCAATGTCTTCAACCATTTGTTACAATGATCATGTGTGATCCTAACTACGTAATCTGAAACCAATATTATAGCTCAACCCAGTTGTCACTAACTTTATAAACTGATATGACATTTTGTTTTTTGATTGCCTCTAACTTCCTTCCAACTTACTTCTACTCTACACCACGTGCTACATCACCTGTGAAGATAGGCGGTGGGCAGTGATAAGCAACACTATTTTTCAAAGCCATATTTCACCTATAAAGTAGGACGGTGCCAATTGTTGCTCAGTAAACTAATCCCTTAGTTGACAGATGGATATTTTAGAGAATAATAGTTTCTGAATTGTGATAAACTTCATCATCATCATCATCATCATCATCATCATCATCATCATCATCATCAACAACAACAACGTAGAACTATGCACGTAAATACAGCAGTTCAAGTTGCTATACCACATTAGCACAGAGACATCGAATTGTCAATTCAAATCCCATAGTAGTAGAGATAGTAAAAGTATTAGAAGTAATCGGAGAGATTAGGATTTGAAGATGTTATGCAAGAAGTATAATTTTCAGTGAGGTAAATTTAGAAAGAGAAAGATAGAGGTGATGAGGAATTCAGAAGGATAGAATTTCATAGAACACAAAAAGTGAATGCGCCTGAGTCATTGCAAACGGTTTTGAGCCATGTCATTCAGGTTCTTTAACCAGCATCGATTATTCTCATCTCGCAATCCCCAACCAGGTAGCCTACATCTATCAACATGACTCAGAGTCCACTTTTCAGTGACTTCATGGATTTATACCATGTTTTGATCTGGCTGTCCGTAACTTTCTTCCAACCTATTCCTATATCGCAAAACCATAGCTCGACGAGGCTCACTGGCTTGTAATAAACTTACAATTCAAAGATCACATATATATCTATACATACCATCCACATAGTTCTGGTCAGTCTGATAAAGTGAATTATATATTGACATTGTATTCTCATTCGTCTTCTATTCTTTATTTCTTTAGTCTATGGGAACTTGGAAACGAAAAAATTTGTCATGCACTGAAAGAAGCTTTAAATCCTGTTATGGAAATTTTGAAGATATCACCGTTATCTAGTGCTAAAATTTTGTACAATCATTTAAATCAACAATAATTTCTGTTCTGTAATAAAAAAATTTTTGTAATTAAAATTTTCACTTAGAGTTTTGGAGGTTGGGCGTTTGCGCACAATACCGAAGGTCCCGGGTTCGAGTCCTGCGAGGTGCTGGAGACGTGAATGCGCACTGCTGATGAGTAGTCCCATACCAGGACGAAACGGCCGTCTTTCAGTGCTTCCAGGTTTCTTCTAATGGTGGTCTAACTTAAAATTTTGTTATGTAGAGTCAGTTACACGAGTGTTTAGCTGATTTCGTTTAGCAGAGTTCCAGTATGTCCAATGGAAAGTGACTTGCATCCAATGACATTGAAAGATGGTCATGTAACAGTATGATGAATTGAACAATGTTCAACGTTGAATTAGGACTAGATGACAGACCTGGTGTTGTATGTCGAACGATGATTCACCTTGAAGAGTATTACAAGTCAAAGAGGTGTGCTTTTAGAATCAACATCTAGCTTACTACTTTATTTGAAGCTATGAAATTAACTAGACAATTAAAATGGAAAGTTATGTTGGTCAGGAAAAGCTATGTAGTAAAGTACTGTTCTATATATTTTATAGTTTTCCGATGTATTGGTTACATTGCCGGTGATGTTCTGACAGAATATGATCTGTCACCCTGTAATTAAGTCGTGATTAGTTTGTTTTACATTGAGCATGTTAGAAAGTTGATATAACATTTCTCCAAAGTATTCCTAATCGGTATTGGCGACTCCGAAGAATATGTATGCTCGATACGGAATTTGATTAGCCTGAATAACTTCTTCAGACGTTTGAATCATATGAAATGCTCTTACAGTGAATGATTGTCTCGTGAAGCTGGAGATGGCACTGAAAGAGGAAAAGTGAGGTGCTGCTGTAATTGATAGTAATATATGATTGGAAAATTATAATTGGATATATAAATATGTATTAGTTTGAATTGTTCACTTTAAGCTGTCAGTTCATCTAGAGACCGTGTGTATCAGTAATATTCTTAAGGGTGACACAAGTTGAATTAAGAAAATAAAAGAAGTCTACCAATAGCAACAACTTCATTGATTCGGTACTTTTTTTCTTCTGTTCCTCTTCAATTTGCTCACTCTCATCCTTTCTCTTTCGCCTGGTGATCGCGACTGGATTATGAAGATGTCATCATCTGGAAGGAAGCAAGGTATTCAATGGACAGCTAGGACACAGCTGAACGATCTGGACTCCGCAGATGACCTGGCTCTTCTATCGCACACGCAACAACAAATGCAAGAGAAGACAATCAGTGTAGCAACAGCTCTCAACATACATAAAGAAAAAAGTAAAATTCTCCGATGCAACACAACATGCACCAACCAAATCACTCTTGATGGAGATGCCTTGGAGGACTTTACCACCTTCACGCGTAATTCTGAAGGTCCTGGGTTCGAATCGTGAGAAGAGTGGGAATCGTGGTTACTCACTGCTGATGGGTCCCACACGTTGGGACGAAACGGCCATCTAGTGCTTCCCGGTTTCTGATGGTGGTCTAACGATGATTGATCCGTGATTAAAAAATTATCAATATGAGTGAGATTTTAAGAAATATTAGATACCTGTGAGGAAAAAGGATACTATAGTCAGCATATTGTGAATCAGTAAATACGAATGATGGGATACTTGGAATCTGATTTCATAATGTACTTAACGTTGACTAAAAATGCTTTAAATTAATTCAAACTACTTAGTGATAGTCAGTAGCAAAAGAGAAATAACTAAGTAATTTTCAGAGTTAAAAGACAGTGAACAGATTCACTATTCTCATGACGTTAAACCAGAAAGAGAATAAATCGAAATTTTTACTACCATTTTGTAGATGTACTGTCAGGAATGATGAAAAGTTTTACGTTGTTACCATTTACTTAGTCTTATGATATTGTATAATTTTCAAACTAGTATTTATCTTGTCATGAGTTTGTTTATATCCCAGAATACTCATTCTTTTATCATATAGTGTTTTGTTCATTAGTACATTTTGATGCTTACTACTTTTGATATCATCTGTTGACTCAGTCATTGTGATCACGCAGGTTGACAATATGGATTTGAATTCGAGTACGACTTCTTGATAAGATTCTGTAACCATTTCATTGTTTGAAAAACAGTTAAATAATAGATTGATTTATTCATGAGCTGAAAATAATTGGAGATAAAATAGCAAGATTTAAACCAGGAAAAAAACTAACTTTATGAAATAAAAACAACCTTTTATTTGGTATTCATAGTATCATTTCAACATCAGTGACCTATTAAATATAGTTGAAATGAAGGTGAGATTTTAAGTGTAATTCCTATTCTGGTTAGTGAAGAGCATCTTGAACGTAACCGATCGATGTTGATAATTTCGGATTATTGGAGACAGATGGATTTGTAAATCAAGCTAAATGGATTGATTAGTATACATACATCAACTAACATGATTGAATTGCATTCTACACACATAAGTGGTAACTTCATTGTTCATGATATCTCACTAGAACTCCAAGAATTTCCTCACGAAGTTAGCCAAAGACATTGAGTGAGGTTTGTCAACACTCTGGATTGGTTAAAGTTAGACATTAACACTGTTGGATGCCGGTTCATTCGTCTAACTGTTAACCGTTCATGAGCGAGACTGAAGGTGCTGGGTTCGTTTTCCGCGAGTAAGTCAGTCAGTCATCCAGTTACAACATTGAACCTCGTACGTACGTACATCAGTTAGGGTTGCCATACCACATAAGCACAAAAATGCAACTGTCAATTCAAATCCCATAGAAGTGGAGGTAGTAGAAGTATTAACAGTAATCGGAGAGATTACGGTTCGAGAATGTCATTCAAGAAGTAGAATTTAGTGAAATAAACTTAAAAAGGAAAAGATAAAGGTGATGAGGAACTCTGTAGGTTAGGATTTAAAAGAACACCAAGAATGAATGTACCTGCGCCATTGCAAATGGTTTTGAGCCATGTCATTCAGGGTCTCTGACTGTCGATTATTATCATCTCGCGGACACCAACCTGGTAGTCTACACCTATCAACATGACTTAGTCCACTTGTCAATGACTTCATGGATTTGTGCCATGTTTTGGTTTGGCCACCCCTAGCTTTCGTCTAAGCTATTCCTATATTGCAATACATAGCTCGACGAGGCAGTCGAGTAGCAAGAATCGTGAATCTACACTGCTGACGAGTCTTATACTAAAGGGCGAAACGGCCGTTCAGTGCTGCTACGTTTCTAATGGTGGTTTATAAATGACCGATTATTGATTCTAAATGAAAAACCACAATCTCCATAACTCTGTAATGAAAATCTTTAATGTCTCTAGAGTTATACACTGTTTTAATGTAATGATCTCAGTTAATTTTAATCTAAATTGTACCGAAAAACTATCATTTGTCTTATTTGTTAGAAAGTAGTGATTATAACAGAGTAGAATAAATCCTATTTTAGTTACCAGTAATTATCACGAAGAATAAAAAAGATTATGTAGGCGTAATGTGACTATTAAGTGATTATGTAAGAGGTGAAATATCAGAAGCTCTAAAGAAAAGTACAAATCAGTTTGCACTGATGTTTTTTTAAATTATTGACAAAAGTTATTTGTTGGCCCCGGATCTGATTCCGAATTGTAGGAATAATCAAATATACTGTGAAATAAATCTTCCTTTCAATTTCTGTATATCATGCTTAGGCGATCATTGTTTGTACGAAGGCAGTAATATGAAGCCAAATGCGGATTGAGTTGGATGAGTTTACCTCATGCAATCACTCATCAGGATAAAAAGTGGATAAGGCAATTGAGACAACTCAGTATGATGAGGTATAAGTATTCATAGTTAGACAAAAATAAGCTAGACATGTAACTGTGGTGTGTGCTACTTATACGAACGATATAAGTAGTATAAGGAGGGACGTGAAAGAAGAAGTCTCACGGTCAGAAGAGGAAAACGGAAAGCAAATGGAGCAAAAGCAAGAAGTAAAGAGGGAGTACCAACAGAGGAAGGAAAGGAAGCAACAACAGGAATGGAAGAAGGATGGAGTGTTGGAAGTCACAACTCAAAGATGGTGTGCAAATTGATTGTTCAATGTAATGTTTTCGTTTTTAATTGACTCAGAGTGTAAATTTGCATAATACAATCTTCCACACCTGCCTCAGTCTTCTCATGACAAGTGAAGTAAGCAATGCACTCAAGTTAAACTAAACAAGATTATCAGCGAATAATTGACAAGGTTGAAAGATGTGCGAATAATGAATGACTGAAGCAGAAAAGGTTAATCCATTTGTACGAAAGCTGAGACTAACTAACTATGTGTCGCTGAACACATTACTACACCCACTGTAGTATATATGTACTTGGTATTGCATATTCTATCAATAATACTATATTGATCATAGAGGCAGGCATTAATAATGACAATCTATGATTTCACTAAAGAAAAATTACCGACAATTCAATGTGAAAAATGTTGTGCTTTTTTTTCTTCTTCATGCTGTAAAATTGCATTGATGATTTCAAATGTGTAAAAACACTAATCTACATAATTCTAATTGAAAATATCGTAAAATATGCTCACTAGTGATTAGAGCATCATGAGGAAATTCTCCGAGTTCTAGTGAGAAGACATGACCAGTGGAGTTCAACTCTGTTTGGGTGTAGGCAATAACTACCAAAGACAAATGGGTGAGGTCGCGTAAAATCCCTAGATCAATCAGAGGTAGACATTAACACAATTGGATACCGGCCCAGTGGTTCAATGGTAAGGCATTTGCGCACAATACCGAAGGTTCCGGGTTCGAATCCTGCGAGGTGCAGGAGTCGTGGATGCGCACTGCCACTGATGAGTCCCATACCAGGACGAAACGGCTGTCCGGTGCTTCCAGGTTTCCAACGGTAGTCTAACAATGATTGATTGATGATTTCAAATGTGTAAAAAACAATGATCTCTAATTGATAATTGTATTCATACTGAATTATCAAATAAAGTAGTCTGTTGCAAAAATACTAA